AGTGGAGCAACTTCGACCCCACCGGGCTGGAGCGCGCCGCCAAGGCCGCCCGCGAGCTGGACGCCTCCCGTGAGCGCGGCCGGGGCGGGCGGGAGAGGCCGGCGGGGGTCGCCCGGTCCCCTCGTTGAAGGGGGAGCCGGAGAGCGGCGCGGGTCTTCCCGGATCCTGGCCGCCTCTGCCGGGAAACCCTCAGCGGGAGGAGGCGGGGCGGGAAGAACCGGCTGGAGTTAAAGGGATCCTCGCAGCCCTTTCCGTCAGGGGGCAGGCGAGGGAGAGATCGTGGGCTGGGGGAGATGGGGAAGCCTCAGCTCGGTCCGGGGAACTGCTTCTGTGGAATACCTGGGAGGAGGTGGTCGGGTGGAGAGACTAGGAGACGGGCCGGCTCTTAGAGCATCTCTGAGGCTCCTTCTTAAAGATTTCAGGCAGCAAAGGATGTTTCTGGGATTGGGGTGCCCTGCATGGGTTAAAGAACCCCTAACCCTGAACCTCTTTCTGCAAATGACAGGCAAGAGATAAAGAATAGTCCAGGCAGGTGACTAGGAAAGGGTCTGGAGATGGCTCAGCCTTCTGAACCTCCTTTTTAAAAAATGTCAGCAGGAAAGGTAATAGGTGAAGGAGCTCTGACTGAGATGGGGTCTGTACCCTGGCAAGATTACTTGCTCTGCCGCTCTACGCAGATCTACTCACCGGTGTTTCGGTAGAACACTGCTAGGCAAGTCTGTATGGCAGCTTTCTCCAGCCAGATGTGCTGCGGATGTTCTGGGCTTCCGCTCCCTCCAGCATGGTCAGTGGTCAGCCTTGCTGAGAGCTGTCATCTAAAATATCGGGAATTTACCAAGTTAGAGAAGGCTGTATGTAGGATCGCAGCTTTCGCTCCTCCAATTCTCTCCCTTAACCCCTTCTTTGAAATGCTAGCAGGAAGTTCAGATCAGACCCTGGCCAGGGGTGAGGACATCGATTAAAACCTTGGCAGTGCATAGGGGCCCTGGTTTGCCTGTGGCAGGTTCAATTCCATATATTTCCCATTTAAGGAAGTGGGGAGGAAAGGATCACAGGAAGGGAAAGTATTTTTTCCCAACTTCTTTCTTATGTTTCTAAATCCATTTGCACAACACGTGTCACTCTGCACCAGCTTTTTCTCCAACTGTGTCATACCACAAGCCCCATCATTCCCAGCCAACAGGGTCAATGGGGGCTCTAGTCCAGCATGCCAGGTTGGCAAAGGCTTCTCCAGATAGTTTGTGACTCCCCTTATATTTGCTCCTGAGAAATGGGGCACCCTTTGTTAGTAAGTGAAGCTCGGAGACTGGTTTGGCTCCCCCCATTCTCAAGGTGGGGATGATAGGAGCTGCAGTGACCATGAGGACTAGATGGCCTCTTGAAACCCTGCCTGAAAATGCCAGGCAGGGCTCACTCCTCCAGAAACCATGAAAAGCAAAGGTCAGGATACAGTATGGCTCAAAATGCACCCGAGTGCCAGACAGGAGACCGGCTTTAGGACCTGCTGGGAAACTGAAGTCCAGCTGGGAAAAGAGTCAATGATTCCCTCGTGGAAGAGGGTTGAGAGCCTGCTTGCTGCCTTTTGGCCGTGATTGCATCAGAGGTGCCTTTTGACCCTGCAGCCTGCCTGTGACTCATGTTTTCAGTGCGTAGGCTTGGTGATTCTGAGTCCTGTCCTTTGCACTGCCAAGGCAGAGCTTGGTATGGCCAGATGGGTCACAGCTCCTAAGCAGCAGATACATGCTTTGCCTAGGGAAGGTCCCAGGTTTGGGTTTTGGGGTGGGCCAGCCCTGTCTGGTAATTGGCCTTGAAGTCGTCTGGCCTGAGGACAAGCAAGTAAAATTAACGGATGCAACAGCCGCCCATTCAGGTGGTTTCAGTGTTTTGCTTAGCTGTATGCTGCTCGACAAAACTCTGAACTGCACATGAGAAAGAGAGGCAGTGGCTGTGTTAAAATGTCAGACTAAGCCGGGGTGGGCAGCCCAGGGCCCTCCAGATTTCTGGACAACCGTCCCCATAAGCTTCAGCCAAGGATCAGAGAATATTAGGATGTAGTCCCAAACATCTGCAGGGCACCAGCTTTCCTACTCACACATTCAACAAAAGTTAAGCACGACTTGAAATTAACCTAGTTCCTCAAACTGGGCAAACTGTAGGTTATTGTCACTGTGGCTATTTTTAAACAAGCTTCAAACCATGGTTTACCAACCTGGCTTGTTTAAACTACAGATCCGTGTCTGAGTCTACGGTTTATCAGAAATGAAAACTTAGAACTTCTCTTTAGGAACTTTCTAAAAGAAGTTTCTTTAGAGCTTAGACACAGAAAGACGAGAAGAAAGATTAGGTGCCATCCGATCACAACCAGTGTGACTGTGAGTTCGGCATGACTTTTTTCGCTTGACTCGAGTGCAGGAGAGCATTCAGTGGTGGAATTGATGTTTCACAACAAGAAAAAACAAAGGGATGCTCTTCTTTTTCCAGGACATGCTAAAGAGGCCCTTAATCTGGCGCAGTTGCAGGAACAGACACTGCAGCTGGAACAGCAGAGCAAACTGAAGGTGAGCAAAGCATCGGGGTCAAAATTTCACACCTCGATATTCGAGCATCTCAGCTTCTTTGCAGGGCTGATCGGTCCTGCAGTCACTCTTCACATGCAGAGGTTTCCAAGCAAGGTCTCTAGCTTGGCTTTCAACAGTCCTCACCTGCCTTAGGAAAATCCCAGTATTTTTAGACTTTTGAACGCTGTTTGCTAGTGATGGAGCAACACTGAGCTGGATGAACCAGAGAGGATGCACTTTTCCAAGTGCACTCTGGCAGAAGAGTTCTTGTAAGGCAGTGCTATTGCAGCAGTTTTGGTCTCTGACAATCTTTTTTTAAATTTGTCGCAGCCCCAATTCTTTTGGTACTGTTTCTTGGGATTATAAGCCACCTTGAATATGTTCTAGGAAGGCGGGATGATAGAAACAGTATTACAGTCCTTCGTGTTTGTACAGGACTTTCCACATGCACGACCCAATGTTATCCTTCCAGCAATGGTATTATTTCCCCTACCACCACATTGCAAGTGGGGAAACAGGCTCAGAGTGGCGTTCCTAAGGCCACCTACCATGTTTACAGCAGAAGTGAGGTTCAAACCAGAGAGTCCCTCTTGGCCACTGTAATTTTCCCATTTTCTACTCATATATATGCTGGTTTCTGGGGATTCTAGAGGTTCCATGAGATTCTGCAAAGGAGAGGAAACACAGGGATGGGCATTTCTTCCTGAAGGACAATTGACCCAATCGTACTAATTTTTTGCTATCTCTTTCTTCCTGTCCTAGGAATATGAGGCTGCCATAGAACAACTGAAAAACGAACAAGTCCGGATACAAGCGGAAGAGAGGAGAAAAACGTTAACTGAAGAGACGAGGCAGCAGCAAGCGGTAAAGAGTTCCTCTGTCGTTAACCATGCTTGACTTACTAAGAATAAAGAGGCCTTGTAAATAAGACACCCTCCCGGCCCACCCAGATTTCTCACCCACAAAAAAAGCTTTACTAATGTACAGGGATGGGGGTGCAGGAGGACAGAAAGCTGCATTTCTCTGCTGTGCGTAGAACAGAGATGGAATACAGCAGTCCTCCTGCGCCAGCCTGCCTGCTCACCTTGTGGAATTCATGCTCACCTGTGGCTCCCGTAAGAGTTCTCAACTGCAGGGCCGAATTAAAATCTGACACTCGAGAGAGCAGGCCTTTTGCAATCCGTTGGACTTAACTCCTGCGTAAATACACGTAGGAATGTGCAGCCAGATAACGCATGTTTTCCATCCTTCCTCCAGTCAGTCCATCGGTAGCGTTTTGGTTCGGGGCTTCAGAAAAGCCTGTTGTTCATTATTTGTGCTGAACATCTTCCATCAAATAGCTCATGATGGGAAGAAAGACCTCTGTGCCTGATACTCCAGGGAGATGCAACCAATCCAAGTAGCCAGATCGGACCTGTTGGGGCAGTGGCTTGGCTCAGATCTCACCTCCATCCCGTTCGGCCTCTTAGAGTTCAGTCAGGCTGTTCTGGAGCTCACATCTCAACACTCAGCTTATAGTGTGTGTTCTGTGCCATCAAAGCATCTCCAATTTATGGCAACCCCTTGAGTGAAAGCCCTCGAAATTGTACCGTCGGTGACAGCGCCGTTCAGCTCTTCCAAGTTCGAGGCCGTGGCTTCCTTTATGGAATCGATCCATCAATGGAACGCTCGTTTATTCAGGTGTCCGTGTCGTTCTTTTGGAATTCAGCCCTTGCTTTTTCCCTGTGTGTTTTCCCTTGAAGAGAGCGCAGTACCAGGACAAGCTGGCCAGGCAGCGCTATGAAGACCAACTGCGGCAGCAGGTGAGTCCTTTTCCGTCTCCTGGAAATGGGCATGTGACGGTCAGACTCCTGAGCATTGCAAGAAGGTTGCGTGGAGGTTAGTGCAGCTATTTTGCCCCTTCAGCGTGCATGGCAGGGGGCATCCGGCCTCTTTCAGCCCAGGGACCACATTCCATTCTGCAGAAATCCTCGGATTTTGCACTTCAGTGGAAGGCAGGGCCAAAACAGCAAGCTTATTTTAGCTTCAGGCTTGGGGGAGGCATTTGGCTCTTCTGCACCTTTAAAGAACTTCACAAAAGCCGAGGAAACACCAGACAAAATCGGTGGCTGCAGGAAAAAGGGAGATGTAGCTGTGTGAGAATACCAGAGGTTTGGAGGGACTTCAGGTTGGCCAGAGGCAGTCCTTGGCTTGAGTTGCCATGACTTGCTCTGTGCTTTGTACTTCTGACGCCCAAGGTGCCATGCAAAGCCAGGACTAGATAATCCCAAATTGGACAAGCATGTGTGTGTTTTCTTCTTTCCAGCAACTCCTTAATGAAGAGAACTTGAGGAAGCAAGAGGAATCCGTGCAGAAGCAGGAGGCCATGAGGCGTGGTAATGTCCCGTTTGAGGGTTTCCTTTCTTTCTTGCCTAATCGAACACACAGCTTGCTTCTTGCACTCCTGGAGATGCACAGAAGCCGCTCTGCTTGTCCTGGCAGGCAGTGTTTCCTCGATGCAGGGGAACAGCGCATCCCACTTCCCCAACAGGAAGCATGGATTCCTTTTAGCCCTTTGAGAAAAACTCTCCCTTCTCTCAGTGGCGCTAGGAACTAGATGGATCCAGCGCAAAGATCCATGCACTCAAAGGATTCCACGGTGCCACCATGCTTGAGGTTCATCTTCCCTCCATTGGCGCGTTCAGAAAACCACTTTTCTTTCCCATTGAGGTCGGGGACCTGCCTTCCCCCACTGGCCATCCACCCGATAATTTTGCACTGCATCTCCTATCATCCCTGGCATTGGCCTACTGGCTGAGCCTGATGAGAGCTGAAGTTCCATACAGCTGAAGGCCACCGGCTTCTTTCCTCCCTCCCAGATCCCCTTTAACCGGCCAGTAAAGCTTTTGCCTGTCTTCACAGCTACGGTGGAACGAGAGATGGAACTCCGGCACAAGAACGAGATGCTGCGCATTGAGGCCGAGGCCCGAGCCCGGGCCAAGGCAGAGAGGGAGAACGCTGACCTCATCCGGGAACAAATACGGTTAAAGGCCGCCGAGCACCGCCAGACGGTGCTGGATTCTCTCAAGTACGCCTGCCACAAGCTTGCTCCTGACGGGTGCATCAAAGATGCTTCTTCAGAGTCACATAATTCCCTCTTGGGGTGCCTGCTGCAACCCCCACATTTGGGCGAGTTTGTTGTCTCCCCCTGTGCTGTTTCCAGCTCTCCTTTTTCTAGCAAGGTGCCCCATTCCAGCTTTTTGAAAATAGCTGTTACAAAATGGCAGCAAACAATTGTAACCATGGCCAGATCTGTTCTATGTTTTCCTAACTTGCAATTCCTATTGGCAGTTAGAGAAACTTTGACTGCATTAGGCAGGCATTAGAGTTCTTGCTGATCGTTCCCCTTGAGGAAATCTTCCCCTTGATGGCCACCAAGTTGATACTTCTGTGCCGTGCCCCATTTCATCCTCATCATCACGTCCAGCCCCATCGGGGTCTACCTGAAGTCCTGATCTTGGGGGCACCCGCATCCCTCCAGAGGTTGACCTCAAACTCCCATCGTGATGCTCAGTCTGATGGGAATCGGTGTCCAGCCACCATCGAGATGCTAACGGCTTCTACACGTGGTGTGCCGGCTTGGAGCCTGTGTCCCTCCTTTTCGTGTCCGTTGAACCAGTTTTGCGAGCAACGCTTTGGAGCAACTTGGAGCAGTTCCCTCGGGAATTTTACCTCCTGAACCATTTGCCGTCTGCATGCTTCACTCATTCTGGGGATCTGCAGATCTGGAGAGATGTGGGGAGAGAGCGTTTAAGAGATGCCACTCTCTGCTGCCCAGTGCTGGGCCTCCCGGGACTTTGGGGCTCACCTTGGGCTGCAGGCTTTGCCATCTGCGAGTCTGCTGAAACCTGTCCCTGTGGAGAAGACGCTTCTCTTTGGCCTGTCACCCTCAGCAGCCCCTTGAGCAGGCGGTGTGGACGCACAAGATGGAGACGCCACCAGATCTCGCGGGATTCGTAGCTAGAGATCTTTGCAATGCCAGGTTCCTCTGAACTGTTGCCAGTGTCCAGCACAGGCCTTTAGTGCAACCGTAAAAGCAGTGGAGCTGTGCAGGCTGGGAGATGCTTGCAGGGGCTTGCCTGCCAGCTGCTCTGAAATTTACGCTTCACCCTTGAGATGAGAATATTTGCTCTCTTCATTTCCTGACAGGCAGATTCTCATTCCTCTTGAGCCTCTCTAAACTACTTAGCTTGCTTGTTTATCCTTTGGTTTCCTGCTTGGGACAAGGACTGTGCCAGTGTCCAAGCGACTGCGCACCTCAAAGCCCCCCCGAAAGCAGTTTTTTCTCCACCCCTTCCCCTCCCCTTGGTCTTTTGCATGTTTTGAGATTGTCAAAATGGGTAGCCTTACTGAAGGCACGTCGGCTAGTCCAGTACTCTCCTCTCTACGACGCAGGATAAAACTATTTTAAAAGTAGTAATGGCTGCTGTTACAGTATGTGAATTCTAATTCTAAAGCAGTTCAGCTTGCAGCCTGATTTAGAAGAGCAACGCCTCCTCAAAGGTGGATTTTCCTAATGGGTTTGCTTGTTGTCTTCCCCAGGACAGCCGGGACACTGCTTGGAGAAGGATTTCGTGCCTTTGTTACAGACTGGGACAAAGTGACGGCCACGGTAAAACCCAGGGGAGACACAGCTGGAGGTGGCCTGTTTGGCGCCCTAATTTCCTCGGTTTTTAAGTTTTTTAAGCAGAGAATGTTTAACCTTTGCAGCCAGAGGCTAAACAGGCAAAACAACTAACAAACAGAGTCCCTTGTCGCTATGGGTATATTTCTGTTTGGGTCTTGGTGTTCTGACAGCACGGGCCTGGGATTTGCGTGAGCTGGGTTCTAGTCCCCACTCCGCCAAGGAGCCCACTGGGTGACTTTGGGCCTGCCACAGTCTCTCAGCCCAGCTTATCTCACAGGGTTGTTGTGGAGGTAAAATGGAGAGCAGCAGCAGGAGAATGATGTAAATCTCTCTGCGTAAATCTCAAGAAGAAGAAAGGAGGGCTATACATCTAATAAGATAGCCTAAAAAAACCCCCACTGAGAAAATGCCTCGACACAAAGCACCTCTTCCAAAGTCAGGGACAAAATCAGTGCAGTGCAGAGCACTGAAGAAGAGTCCCGTTGTGTCAGAGCAAAGCTCTGTTCTGCCCAGCCTCCTCATTCCTGTTGTGGCCTGTTTGGTACCTCTGGGAAGCCCCACAAGCAAGCCAGGAGCCCCCTTGCACCTCCTGCTGGTGGCATGTGAGCGCCCCCCCCCACCCCGCCACTGGAAAACTCCCATAGGGACCTCCTCCGACATGGATCTGGCCCTCTGGTGGAAGGCAGTTCAGCAGCACTTCCCGTGCCGATTTATCTGTAAGGAGTGTGCGTTGCACCGGTGCAGGGGGAGAAAGCTGGAAAGGGCCGGCGTTTGGTTTTGTGAGTGGCGCCTTGCCAGGCAACTTCATGTCCTGCAAGATGGTCCTGGGAGAGCAGCCGCTGCTGAGCCCGGAGGCCAGCCGAGCGTCCCCGGCCACCCTGAGCGCAGGTTTAACCTCTCTCGCGCATCCCTTGGTGGCTCTCACAAGCAGTAATTCTGTCCTGCGTTCGCTAGGGGGCACCTCTGCCATTGAGCACCGAGATCCTCTCAAGCTTGCTGCCTCCTCCCTTCGGCTTCGTGGAGCCGAAACGACCCCGTTTGGGCTCACAGTGGCCCTGGGTCGTGGGCTGTTGCGGCACGAGAGCCAGAGAACTTGGGCTGCCTGTGCTTCTCTCTTCCACCGCTGGAAACATAACCCGTGCGGAACTCTCTTCAAGCATGGACTGGAACGGGTGGGCGTCTCTTGCAGATGCCGTCTTTCCAAGAGCTGCTCGTGCTTCTCTTCGGCAGCCAGCTTCTGAGCCATTTTGCTGCAGAACATGACAGGCAAGGGAAAGAGGGGCTCAGCTTAGTTGCCAAGCAACTACTGAGGGTTTTTCGCAAGTGCTTCTTAGCCCAGTGGAAGTGGCCACTTTCCAGGTGCAAAGAAGAGCTGTTGCCGTAAATGAAGGCCGAAGTGGTGCTCTCCAGAAAACCTGGATGAGTGCCTTCACAGTTCCTAGGAATCTGCTGTGCATCTCTCGGCTCCGCTTGTGCTACCGCCTCCCTGGGGCAAAGGACTCCTTCTCCTGACTTCTGTAACCTCATAAAGTCCAGCGCTGCATTTCATAAGAGCAGCTTTTTTCGCAGCTAACCATTTTTGAGCTGGTTTTCCCTGGACCTAAACAGAAGAGCGACGCAAAGAAACGTTTTAAGGTATCATCTGGTAATATAGAGAACTGGGTAGCAAATCATTAGGCTAAGGAGCGTCCATAAGAAGCAATGCACCCAACGCTTCACGTTTAGCCCCAAAATAAAAATCGACCGCAGAAGTAATTGCCGAGGGTCCTGCCGCGCAGTTTCCTCAGGACTATGGGAGAAAGCCGTGATGCACAGACCTGGAAGAGAAACGCACCTGGCAGGAGGAGGAGACTCGCCAAGAACCTGATTTTATCCATCCATTTGCATCGTTCATGTCACGCATCCTGTTTCTTGCCCAGCCAAAATGGCACTACTTCTGAGCGGGATTTATCAGCAGACTCAGCTTTGCAGAATGAACAACCAAAAAAATCTGGAGGAAAAGGTTATGGTGGGGAGAGGAACCCCTGTATTGTCCACGCAGGGCTGAGCCATGACTCGGGGAGGCGGATCGATCCTTGAGAAGAAAACCAGGAAGGAGAGAAGAGGGGACTGCAGAGGCTGATATCCTGGGTATCTTGTTGCAAGGTCCTTCTGGCCCATGTACGAAGGGGGGGCTAACACCCCCCAGCCTTCTCTGGAACAGTTAATGGGGCCGTTACCTGTTAGAGATATTGTGTGTTTAAAGGTACTTTGCCACTGGAATCCCCACCTGAGCTGCAAGAACAATATTCCTGAGCTGTGCTGAGCCTGGCATCGGGACTTTTGCATCCCAAATCAGCCCCTCCATCGCTCAGAGGGAAGCACCTCCTTTCCATCCCCTTGCGGCCACTGGCTCTCCACAGTCCGCTCTTTTGCACAGCCGGTCTTAGAACGTGGGCATCCTTCCTTGCCCCCCTGTAGCTCACAGAGTCCATCAAGGGCTGTTCCACATGGCACAGCCATCCAGCACGTGAGCTCCGCTCTTAAACCTGGGGGCTGCTAAGTGGAAAACGTGAGCGACGGGACCCCCTTGCGGAGCCCAAGATCGGCTGCAAGCCTCGGCTTGGGACACAGGCTCACCGTGGCTGGCTAAGTTGGTCACCCCGTCCTCATCTTGGTCGCTGGCTCAGGAGGGCAAAAACCAGGGGGTGCCTTGAGTCTCTGACAAAGTCAGCAGCCATGCAGTCTTAAACAGAGGTCTTAAACTCGGCTCTACCCACACAGAGGCTGCGCATCGATTTTCCAAAGCCCCCTGCAAGTGTTTTCCCTCCCCCAGTAGCTTCCATGGCCCAGATCTTCTCAGCGCCAGCAGCTGCATCCAATTGCTGTTCTCTCCCCGGACTCCACAGGAGCACATCCACCCACAGGAAGCCTTTGAGGACACGGCGACAGTAATTGGCAGGCCCGGCCGCCCTCCCCCAGCCGCCCTCTTGCTCACTGCCTAGAAAGTAGCTAAGTGCATGGAGAACATGAGAAGGAAAACCAGAGGGCGAAAGCCGACCATCTCTGGGATCTGGGATCTGGAATCCGGCCCTGGTCTGCTCAGCGTGGGGCTTTGATGCTTTAGGAGTGCCTGTCTCTCTTCTGTAGCAGCTGTGGAAGACACTTCTGGGAAGCAGGTCGGTCGATAACATGTGAAACTGACACGGATTGGTTTCATTCATAAGCCCGTTCTGTCCAGCTTCTGCCTCGTCGTGTAGTTCTTGTGCACAAAGAGCGAGCGTGTTCAGTTCCCTCTGTGGCTCTCTGTGCTTTGCCTTCGCTGCTTCTGTTGCCCTGGCAGGACCAATTCTGGAACTCTCTGGCTCTGTTCTTCCAAAAACAAAACCCCTAGAAATAGGAGCTCTGCTGGCATGCAGTGAGGTTCAGAAGGCCTGAAGCAGCAGCCGTTCCTTGCTAAATCGTCGCTTGCTATTCAGACGTTGGTCTTGGACCTGCCACAGAAGCTTTTCCTGCTTTTGCCAGGGGCAAACCGCACTCCGGATAGAAACAGAAGTAACCCACTCTGCCTGTCATGACCAGCAGTAGTTTGGCTCTCCCTCTTTTCTCAGCGTTTTGTTTGCCTGGCTTGCAACCGGTTTGTCTAGCAAGGGCCTCTCGGTGGAGGTGTTTATGCTGTCACAGCTTGGCCACGGTAGCTCTGGGAAGCATTAAGCCCCGACTCCACAGCAAAGCTTACTCGTTGTGCCCCTTTGTCAGTTCCCTGATCGCTACCCCAATCTTTGTGGGGTGGAAACTAAGATTCATTTAGAGCACAGTGGCAAAAGGGGGTAGTCCCTGATGGGGCTGGAAAGGGCAGGAGGAGAATCCCGTATCCCACATAGCATCTTCCCCCTTCTCTTACCTCCATCGCTGCCCAAGTCATTCCGCATAACAGCAGTGCTGTGACCATCCAGTTGGTTGGGACCTCATGGCTCCAGCTGCTAATTTGTTGGTGTTTCTGTTCCCCTTTTTTCAAAAAGAGAAAGAAAGCTCTTAACCGACATCGGAATGGGCTATTAATCAACTTCATGTACATGTGTGTACTGCATTTTTTTCTCCCTCCAGCTTGAGCAAAGAGGCAGAGGAATTTTGTAGTAAAGAAGCCGGGCTGGTTTTTTCATCCTCCCAAAGGACAGGATCCCAGTGGGAAACAGAAAAAGAGTTCCTGCTCCGAAACCCAAGTTTGAAGGGCATTTGCAAGCCCATAGTTGGGGTTTGCCGTGTTCTGCAGCTATGGAAAAATGCTTTTTTCCCAAAGAACTCTAAATGAGACATGAGTGACCTGGTGAGAGATTGGATAGCAACGTAAATCCTGGCCATGGGCCATGCTGGGCGGGGCTCATGGGACTTGTAGTTCAGAACAACTAAAGGAATACCCAGAAGTCTAGAACTGAGTGGATGAGGTGAAACTGTAAAGACAGGCCATGTTTCATCCTGCAACATTTGGACACTGCCACGATAGTTTAGGTTCTAAACCAGGTTTGTCTCAAACCATGGATTGATGTGTTATTTGAAGGAGACCGTAGAGACTGAAATTTGGGGTTAAAAATCATCACCGTTCTTGTTTGTCTCGTCTTGCGAGCTTTAAATATTTCTGTTAGTGATAGTTAACTGGACTGTCTTGGTTTACAGCTTTAGGTGAGCTAGAAATTCTTGGGTGGGGGGAAGAAGCACATCTCGACTCTAGTTTTGCGGCGCTCTGTGCAGATTCCAAAATAAAATCCTTTGATGAACCTCATGTGAACAAATCGGAGTGCTTTTGTTTCTCAAATTCGCCTGGCACAAGCCCAACCTGCGCCTTCTTTCCCTCTTTCGGCAGGTGGCAGGACTGACTCTCCTGGCTGTGGGCATTTACAGCGCCAAGAACGCCACCGCAGTCGCCGGACGGTACATCGAGGCTCGGCTAGGCAAGCCTTCCTTGGTGAGGGAAACCTCCCGCATCACGGTGCTGGAAGCCCTCAAGCACCCCATAAAGGTAGGCCGGCGGCGGCCCTCACGACCCCGCAGCGAGAGACTTCCCCAAGCCTTATCGTTGCCTCCGGCCGGCGCCGTGTGACAGTTCTGTCGCCTTCCCAGGTTGGCAAGCGGCTCGCCAGCAAGGCCCAGGATGCTCTTGAAGGTGTCGTTCTCAGCGTAAGTCAACAGGCGTTTGCATTTGTCTGGCGCTTGAGTCACTCAGAACGTGCTTCCTCTGCTTGCTTGCTTGCTTTGTATCCTGCTTAAGCTGTGCACACACCCTGTTAGGAACACACGCTGGCTCCAGCAGATGCTTTTCCACTAAGCACAGGCCATGCCCCAGTCTGGAGTGACCCTGGAGGGCCAGCTTCTGAGCATTTCTGCCTCCGTACCAGCCGATCATGCCTTCCGGTCCTGAGATTGACCGTCTCTTTGTCTGTGCTGCATTGCTAAGGTGTTGGTGGCCGCACACTCAATCCCCAACAACTTTTCAGAACCCCGGAACTATTTTCCAGGGGGCCCTTGTCTTGGCAAGCTGGTGGCACTAGCCATCGGCTCCACAGCGCGACTCCCACCCCCACACCGGCGGGTCGACACAGCTAGGCAAGCCATACTGTGGGTCCTCGTTGGCTCACGCGCCATTGTATCTGCTGGCCGTGCTCACAAACCATGCTTTACTAGCAACTGACCCGTGGTTTGTTGCCAGGCTGGCAACTTGGGTTATTTGTACTTAGCAAACCATAGTTTGTCAGTTCATGCCCGCCCCCCCGCAACTATCCACAATTAATTCATGCTCTGGCTTGTTACATTGTGTGAACCTGGGCTTTGAGTCCCTCTGGTGTGCTGGCTGATCTTGCAAATCTTTAGCCTGTCACTTAGGAGCTGAGGATACTTTACACCAGGTTAGAACCAGGATGGGCCACTTCCGATATACTAAGATTACATACTTTACTATATTCTGCCTTTTTCCTGCAAGGGATCCAAGGCGGCTTTCATAATCCTCCATTTTATCTTTACAACAACCCTGCGAGGTAGGTCAGGCTGCAATGCCCATCTGTGTCCTGCAGATCAGTGGGGCTCCACCCTCTCTCTGTTGTTCTGCCACTCTTTCTTCCCGCAGCCCAAGCTGGAGGCGCGTGTGAGAGATATTGCCATCGCGACACGGAACACGAGGAACAACCGCAGCCTGTACAGAAACATCCTCATGTACGGCCCCCCTGGGACCGGCAAGACCCTCTTTGCCAAGGTGAGTCAAGTCTCAGCAGAGGTGCCGCCAAGGAGAATTCAGCCGCAGCTTTGCTGCTTGTTGGGCTGCATCTGTACCTTGTGTTGTTTACAAATAAACCCCCCAAATCGGTGCCAAAAGAGCAATCCAAATGCCACAGCCACAAAGAAGTTTCCTTACTGCATGTCTTGTGTCGCACCTTAGCCGGAGCTGGCAGTTGGGTTGATGGGGCCGTGTATCCCCTCAGAGTTTCAGTCTGAACTTTTGCGGGACTCTCCATGGCACTGAACTAATTTAGGAATGGGGCTCGGCTCCTTCAAAGCTCCGACTGGAACTTGGAGTGGATAAACCTCGCCATGGGCCCCAGCAGCAAGCTCTGGGGCGCGCTTATTTCCCCCCGAGCTGCCCCCGTGACTCCTGGCTCCACGCACGCCAGGCCCGGTGCTTGCTTTTCCTCCTCTTGGCACGTGCGTGTGTCTAAATTTAACACAGCAACACACTTCAGCCGAGACGCTTGCACCGGCCCGCCGATCTTTTCAGCGGCTCTTTCACGCACGTTTTCCAGCTCACTGATTATGCCTTCTGAAGCGGGCTGGCCAGAACAGTACAGAGTGTCCATGGCTCCCTGCAGCGACAGACACAGGAACTTGACGTGATCGCAGAGGCGGCAGAGACGCACGCGGGCCGGTGCCAGCAGGCCAGATGCGTGAAATGCCTCCCAGGGCTCTGACAGCGGCCCCCGTCTCACCCAGGGAGGGAATTCCCACTTGCTCCCGGGGGGGGGGGGGCAGCCTCGCGGCTTTGCTTGCGGAAGGCCCCAGATTCGAGCCCTGGCACCTGCTTTGAGGAAGAATCAGGGAGCTGCTGAAAGGAGCTGCTGCTCTCTGCCTGGGGAACTTTCCCAGTGTTGCTGGACCAGCTCCGATCAACCCCAGCCATCCTGGGGACTATGGGAGCTGTAGTCCAAACTACCTGGGAGGTGACACCTTCCCCACTCTGGAGATGAAGGCATCCTCATCTGCATCGTCCATCATCATTTCTACTGCATTTATACCCTACTTTCTCCAGAGAGTCCTAGATAGCATACACAATCCTTCCCCTCTCTATTTTATCCTCACAACAACAACAACCCTGTGAGGTGGGCGAGGCTGAGAGTCCATGCCTAGCCTCCCATCGTCCACCTAGCTTCCTGGCCCGCCAGCGCTCCACACCAGCTCTCCTCTGGAAGCTCCGTTAGAAGGACACACAATCTAGGGCAAAATTCCCCGCACACCATCACGGGAGGGATTGTGATACTGTGAAAACACTCCGGCATCGTACAACCAGGTTTCTGGGTACAGCTCTGGCATAAGGAGCAGGTGACGGGAGACTCTTAGCACAAGGTCCCTGTCGAAGCAGGCGGCCGAAAGTCCAGGTGACGTGGCCAGATCTGAGCCAGCTCCCTGAACTCCCTCTTAACCAGCCAGGTGGGCATTCTCACCTGGGTGCCCACCTGGGACACGCCAGGGACCAGATGCTCATCTCGCTCACAGCATTTTGGGCCCAGGCTTCCTCTGGGGAGCCCGAGAAGGGAAAAAAACCAGGGAGCCGATGGAGAACCTCGTTTGCTATTTTCTTCTCCTCTCCGCCCTAGAAACTAGCCATGCATTCTGGCATGGATTACGCCATCATGACTGGAGGTGATGTTGCCCCCATGGGGCGGGAAGGAGTCACAGCTATGCACAAGCTCTTTGACTGGGCGAACACAAGCCGGAGAGGGTAAGCCGTCTTGTCTTTTGGCTTCTTGGATCAGATGCTTCCTGTGATGAGGCAGAGCGTCATTGTCCCCCTTTCTGTGCTGCCTTCCCCCCTCTGCCTGTCCCCCTTTCCGTGTTTCCCTGGCACCCTCTGCCCTTGCCAAACCTTTCTAAGAATACACCCAAGACCTGCAAGAACTGACAAGACGGAACAATCTCCCCCTCGAGGCTTGCTTGGTGCCCCTGCTGCTATCCTTTTGGGGCCAGGATGAGATCGCGGTCTATGCCAAGACATTTTAACCGCGTGAAATAGCACAGAGGGGACAGGTAACCATTTTGAGAAGCCGCGCTGTATGAACCTGCCCTTCTCCCTTTACCTTGTCAAACGTCAGCTTGATATTTTAATGGCATCGTGTGACGTTTTGCTGTTATTTATATTGTGTTGTGCTTTATAAATTGCTCTGTACCACCCCCAGAGCTTTGGCTGCGGCACAGAATGGAAATAAAATTAACCCCCTAATAAATAAAGATGACTAATGCTTTGCAGTGTGATGCTGGAAAGTTCGGACGCACTGCAGCTGGGGCAGGTGTAGTGTTTGCAACGGAAAGGCCCCTTTGGCCGTAAACAAAGGCCGGAGCAGCTCCCGAAGCATCCTTCCAGGTGTGCTTGGCTCCAGTTCCCATCCTCCCTGCAACAGCCTTCGCGTGCACAAAGATCCAGAGTCGGAAAGTACGCTGGGTGGGCGCTAGAGGGGCAGAGGTGGAGTGCCTGCCCACTAGCCCCGATCCTGGCCTCCTGGCCCAGCTCCAGCTTTGCATATAACCTTCTGCCTCACCTGACTGGATCCTCTTGGCCCATCCTAAGTTACGTTACTAAAACTATGGAAAGCATGGCATACAAGGATTCTCTTGCGCTGGCTCTGAAGTCTTTCATTTCAAGAAGTTTGGTCGGCGACTCTCGGAGCTCCTGTAGGCAGAGAAGATGCTGAAATGCTCAGATCTGTCCCTGCCTGTGAATCTAGCCAGTCCCTCTCCCTAAACGGACAAACATTTACTCCCGTTTTAGCCTTCAGAATTCTGTTTTTGCTTCTGGGAAGGGCTGCAACCCCAGCGGAGCTCCTTGCGGACATCTCCATCCTCAGCATCTTGAACTGGGGGCTCGGTGGGCCACACCGAGAAGCCTCATGCAGCCGTTTCATTTCCTCCAGCCTGGACGGTGACTCAGTCTTGAGTAAATGCAGTACCATGTTCCCAGCAGCCTTTTTCCTACAGCATAAAAGAAGGCAGTATCGCCCACATGGCTTTCCTGGGCTTTCCATCTCTTTGTCAGTGCCATGCCAGGCTGCCCATTAAAATCCAATGAGAGTCTTGAGGCTTAGTGTGTTTGCCTGGGATCAGATTTGCTGGTGGGGGGTGGGGGGGGGGGGCGCAGGCATAGCATCCAAGGCAGCGAAGCGATAATGTATGTGCACCTTGATTGATTCCGACAAGACGTTCGGTCCCCACGTCCACTTCGGTACACCTCTGCATCCATCACCCCCGATGTTTCTATTTTCCGCATTTTTTAAAATACATATAAAGAAAAAGGAGAGGGGGAGGGGAAAAACCCATGCAATGAAGTATTTAAAACCTGGGCCCAAGAAACTTCCTTTGGCAGAGTCGGTGGCCTGCCTTTTTGCAAGCAGAGAGCGAGAAAGAAAGAGCGAAACGAAGAGCAGGAACAGCGCGAGCTGTTTAAAAATGGATCGGCAGCCTCGCTCAATTATTTACTCGCTCCGGGTCCTCTGGGAGTATGGGCCGTGCCAGCGGAAACACGGGCCCAGAAACCTGACGGCCGTCTGCCGTCGCTTTGCAATCAACATCTGAGCTCCGCTGGGCTGGGGGTCCCCTCCAAGTGAAAAACGAGAAAAGCTCCGAGCTGCGATTCAAGGCTGCTCTCCCCGAGGAACTTTAGGTTGGATCCAGGCTTGGCCTTGCTGTGAGCCCACCTCCAGAAATAAATAACCCGGGAGCAGGTCATGAGTAAGCCACGTCCTGCTGGTTTTGATGGGTGTCTTGGTTGGTTTCAAGAGATCTACCATACTGGGGCACTGAGCTGGCGTCTCTCCCTCTGAATATCCACCGTGGAAGGCGGTTTGACCGAGGCCTCCTCTCCCTTGCCATGGCTCCCCCTTCGTGCAGGCCTCCCCCAAGCTCACGCGTCACTTTTCTTTCTCCTCTCCAGCCTCTTGCTCTTCGTGGACGAGTCCGATGCGTTCCTGCGGAAGAGAGCCACGGTACGTGCTTCCCGGTGCAGCGGGCACAGTGGGGCAGGCCGCTCTCCTTCAGCCGGACTAGTTGACCCGGCACGTGAAATCAGGCGCCTGAGCAAGTTCCCTTCCCGCACTGTCATTAAGTGACTTCGAGCAGGCCTGCTCCGTCCGGCTCGGCCGATGGGTCACGCTAGGAAATGGAGAGGAAGACGGTGGCCGGGGCCGCCTCTTGGAAGAGGAGGAGGAGGGTGCGGAATGGCTTCCACGAGAGGTCGCTGAGGCCCCGTCGGTGTGGGTGTTCAAGGACAGGCTGGATGTGCACGTGGCGGGCATGTCGTGAGCGGAGCCGGCTGGAGCCGGGGGCCAGACTAGATGGCCCGGGAGGCCCCTTCAGACTCGCGCTGTTTCTGTGTCAAAGTTGTGTCCAGCCTGGGACAGCACACATCCCTCGGGTCCATTGGCTGGGATTTGGAACAAGCCTGGGATGGTTGTGTACCTGGGACCCTTCGGGAGACTTCTCTTTGGGGGCCGGTTGGCCCCTGTTCGGAGTAGACAGGACCTCAACCCGATCCTGCACAGGATGGGGCCCACACCTGCCCCTTTTCAGGTCCATGAATTGGTCCAGTCCCCATTTAAAGCCATCAGGGGCCCCCTTGGCCTCCCCCGGAGGTGAATACTCTGCCCTGGGAAGGCAATTCTTCCCTGGACCAGCCAGCTCCAGCTCTAGCTCTGGGGTGCTAATAGCAGCAGAAAAGGTGTCTCCTACACTACGGTGAATACGTCGCCGTCAGGACTAATAGCCGTGCATAACTTCTCCAGAGTCTCCTTGCAGCCCGATGGACGGACGGGACCCGTGCGCTTCCCTTTAGCTCGACAGCTCCAGGCATCTCTGCACATGCATGCATGGTTTTGTGGCCTCTCCGGATGACACTGTGCTTTTCCTCCAACCCTTTGCATAAAGGGTGCTCACGCATGTTTGCTACATTCCCCTTTCCCCCCCTTTTTGCTCCCCTGCAGGAGAAAATCAGTGAGGACCTACGAGCAACGCTGAATGCTTTCTTGCACCGGACGGGACAGCACAGCAACAAGTAAGGGCAGGGGTCTTCCAGCTGGGCAGGTGGCGTGGGCAGCCTCTCCCCCTGCCATGCAGCGATGGGTGGGGTAGGCGGCGCTGCCCCCAAGCCAGCAGGTCAGTTTCCCCTGCAAATCGTCCTGTGCTGTTTGGGGGCAGCCAGGCAGGTGGGTTTAGAAGAGGAAGGGGCCAACGGCCACCTGGGACAGGGGAGCCAACGGAAGGGTGAGCAATTCCCCGCGGTGTCAGAACCGTCAGTTTTGGAAGGTGTCTTGCAGGACTTGCTGGTACAGATCTAGCTTAATATGTGACATATTCTTGAAGATGTTCTCTTCTGCAGTGGACATGGGAAACAAACCAAAGACGTCCCATGCAACGAATACATCTCGATCAACATGTGACAGTTTGCTTAAAGGAGATTAATATCCTTCATGCAAATTGAGCCAATTATGATTTCATAGGATATTGGTTGGGACATCCTATCAATCCTCCAAACAGTTCTGCCTCTATTTTATATAGGTTTTTTTCTATTTCTGCTTTTATACTAGGCCCTTTAGTTTGTTATCTAACGGATGCTTGTGTGTTTTGCTTAAATCTCCGCACTGTGGTTTGGGCACAGCTCCAGAGAAAGAAGAGCTGTCCCTTTTTCTTGTCTGGGCTTTCCTCTCGGCACCGCCTCGCCTTCCCTCTCAGGGTCCTGGCAGCCACATCACTGCTTCCCTGCGTCCGTGGGAGACCCAGAGAGGGAGCATTTGATACGTTGCCAGTTGTAAATGAAAGCGGCAACCTCACATCTCCTCTCTCCCGCCGGCCCCAGCAGGGCTCGGCTCGTGACAGATGGTGAGAGAGCTGCCGTTCCGACAGCTCCCGTTAAAAAGGCCATTTCAGATCATAATGCGCCATTAAGCCAGGAGCCTCGTCAGCAACGGCATGAAAATCAGACTGCTGAGAATGGGCTAGAGAGAGGGGAGGACGCGGTCACAACCGTTCCGAGAGCATCGCTGCTTCTTTGTGCCGTGGAGGGAGCCATCCCGCTCCCATCTTGGTCCCATCTCCTCCTCGCCTTCCTTTTCTAATTTGAGGAGTTTTTAGGGTGAGCCCTGCCTTGGTGTCTGGACAAATCCAGCCCTCCTGGAGGCTCATCCCTCCAACCGTTGTTGAGTCACAGGTTCTCTGGCTTCAATGTAATTCCCCCCACAGTCTAGTTAGTGGCAGCAAGAGGGCTAAGGCCCAACTGGTAAATGAAAAGCCTTTTCGGAATTGAATCTAGCCCTCTGGCTAAATTCTCTGCCCGAGCCGGAAGGAAACAGAAGAGCATTCTGAGATGGGTAATCTGCCCAGGCAGTTGTCTAAATATTATTGCTGAAAAGCTGGGCTATTTGAATATTGGGGAGCGGAATCTTTGCATTCCATTCACCGGCTTGGCCCCTTTTGCTCATCCACACTTCCCTTTCTTCTTAAAAACCACTGTGCAAATTCACCTTCCAGTACACATCCCCCAATGAGTCCCACTTCATCCCATTTTAGGAGCCGAGAATCTCAGTTCTGATCCGAGCATTGGCTGGATAGCTGCCGATTGGATCACTTGGCGTCCAAACATGTCCAGTTGATCCACCCAAATTTCCTGTACTTCCCAAGTCAAGGTTCTCTTTCTTTGTGTGTTTGTTGAAGAGATGCTTCGGGTAATAAGATGTAGGGAAAGGACAAGAACTGGAGTTGGCTGGTCCTTTTAAGGGCTCCCCTTTTGTTCAGCCCAGCAGTGGTGTTGTGTCCCGGATGGTGCCTTTTACGGTCTTGTGACAAGTTGCGTTTCAGTGGCACAACAATCCCCGAGCCTGCTTGTGTGCAGCTCCTTCTGGTGTGCAGGCAGGGAGGAGGAGGAGAAATTTGCTTTCACCTAAAGGCTTGCTTTCCAAAGAAACAGCAAAGAGCCTGAGTTTACTGACAACAGCGAATTCTTCTAGGTGGTTTAAAACAGATCTCTCCCCCCAGGAGAACAGGCATCAAAGTGGCAAGCAGGCAGAAATGGGGGCCCATGGGGCAGGAGACCCCGGCTTCAGGCACTCGCTGCTGAGAGCTCAGCTAGCACTGGCTGTCCAAGGAGGAAACCTTGGGTGGCGCCAGTGAAAACGTCATGCCAAGGCTGCGTGGAAGGCGAGCCCCGCCGCATGAGCAGAACGCTGGCCGAGACAGACCTGGAGCCCAATCCAGCTGCTCTTCACATCTGTAAAGCAAAGCCAGGATGCCAGGGGGATGCACCTCTCACAGGGCTCGGCTTTTTTCCCAGGTTCATGCTCGTCCTGGCCAGCAACCAGCCCGAGCAGTTCGACTGGGCCATCAACGACCGGATAGACGAGATGGTCCACTTCCAGCTGCCTGGGCTGGAAGAGAGGGAAAGGCTGGTCCGGATGTATTTTGACAAGCACGTCCTGAAGCCGGCGACCGAGGGCAAGCGGTCAGTAACCGTTTGGTGGCTCCTTTCACGTTGCTTCGTTGTAGGATCTCCGGGGGATCGTACGAAGGTCCACCCAGCCCAGCTTGCCAACACGGACTGGCAGCAGCTCTTGGGGCACCCAGGCAGGGGCCCAGGGACTGAACCTGGGTCTGTTCTGTGCCCCCTCCTCTTCAGCATGTCCTCCTCCTGATTGCAAAGGCGTTTGCTGAGGGGCAACAGGATTGTAGGCTTAGTGGGCCGAGCACACAAGGGAAAAGCCGAAAGGGCAGCCCTCTTGCTTCACCCCAAAAGCCCAACCCCACAAGGCTGGCGTTGGGACCTCCTGCTTGGAGGACATGGCTTGCTGGACCCCTGAGCAGAAGCGCTTCTCTGAGTGAGCGGTGCTGCAACATTTTATTACAGATTCCACGCAGAGGTCGATGTTTTCCCAAATTTGCAGCCTCCTCACCCTGTCCGATTTTCAGGCTGAACTGCTGTCCCGGGACTTCTAGCTCCACAGCCTTGGCACCGCAACTCCCAGCACCCCGAACATCAGCCGTGGTGGCTGGGGATGATGGGAGCTGAAGTGCCACACCTTCAGAGGGTTGGGAAAGGTTGATGTAACCACCAGGCCACACGGGCCTTGACCTGTGCCCTTCCTCACGCGCAGGCGCCTGAAGCTTGCTCAGTTCGACTACGGGAAGAAGTGCTCCGAGATTGCCAAGCTGACGGAAGGCATGTCTGGCCGAGAGATTTCGCAACTCGCGGTGGCCTGGCAGGTAAGACCCGCCTCCCGCTTGGAGCTCAGCGGCCATCTCCCCGTCTCGCTTACGCCCCGGAAAAGCTCCTTGACCCCAGCTGGGTCTGGGGAGGGGCGGCTGTGGCAAAATCAACTCCTGTGCCAGTCCGAAGAAGGCGACGCCAGTTTCAGAGAAAGGACCACAACCCAAGTGTCCTTCCCACAACTCGGCACAGTCGGATCGAGGAGGAGGACACAACTTCCACAGTGGGGGTGGGCAGGGCCAGGAGCAAGGCGAGGGAGCAACGGCACGCGGGCGGAGGAGGAATACCCGCAAAAGGGAGCCCGAAGCACTCGCTCCCAAGGGTGGAGCCTGCGGGGAGTGTTTCGACCTCGTGGCGCTGGGTGTGGGGGCCGATGGGCCAGTTCCAGAGCTGGGCATCCAGCAAGCAACTGGGGGCCGAGGGGAAGGAGCACAGCAGTCTGGGAAACCCAGGCTTGGTCCCTGGTGCAGAGGCAGGCCTCTGAATCCTGGACGGACGGACGGACGGACCGACCATGATTTGCTTACCTTAGGGGTTCTGATACTTGTTGCTCTCCAGAGGTTTTGGACTTCAGCTCCCATTGTCCCCACCTAGCATGGCCAGGGGTCAGGGATGATGGGCCAGCATGGGGCTGGAACTTCCCCCCTCTAGGCCTTGCATGGAGAGCTTTGTGTACAGCAGGCGGCTTCATGGAGAAGGCTGTCCGCCCAGTCGCCAGCCGCTGCCCTTCCACCAAAGGAGGACCCCCCAAGCGTCTCCTCGGATCTCGCAGGGCAAAGTCGCCTTGACATAGAATTGTTGGGTCGAAGATTGGGTTGTTCCTGGTTAACAACCCAAGCTTTGTTCACATGGCTGGGTCTGGGCAGAACCCCACATTTCAGTCACAGGCCTCCGCTCATCCCCTACACAACCCTAAGTGTAGGTTCTTGTGCTGTCTGAACCCAGTCACCGTCTCTGGCGAACTTTCTCCCAGCCTTTCCATCTCCACAGGGCCTTCTTAGCAGGGGTTCTTTCCTAGGCTGGTGTGCAGTTCCCTGGTCCAAAGAGAGAGTTTGATCTCTCTCGGATCTGTTGTTCAGGCACCTCGGTTCACGCTTCCTGCTTCTGACAACTTGCTCACGCTGAGCCCAGCGTCCCTTCCGGAGCTGCAGCGGGAATCTGCTGAGTTTCAGACTGAGATCAGTTCCCCGGGACGAGGCAGGAGCTGCCCCCGGGACCCGAAGGGCCAGAGCCAAACGCAGAGGGGGAATTGAGCAGCACGTGCGGCCGTGGGAGCCCAGGACAAGCCACGCTCAGGACATCCAGAGCAAGGGCCAAGTCCAGCCTGCCCTGACTCCCCTTTTCCCTTGAGCGCCACTTATTGCTGGCGGCCCCTCACATGTAGGGTCATCCCCCCACCTCTCAAGGCAGAAATGTCTCGGAAACCTCAATTGCCGACCGCAGCACCATTAAGCACCAGCATCTTTGGCTCTGTGATCCCCCTCTTCTGAGCCACACCCTGCCACGGGCTTGCAGCCCCTCAAAATGTCTCTGGAACAGAATTTGGGCCCCATGGGCTGAACAAGGCTCAGGACCCCCATTCTGCCGGGTGCAAGACCAGTGGAATTAGAAGCACAGAGGGCAGCCGTCCGCTCTGTGGCTCCCCAGCTCCTTGCAAAGGGCTAGTTCTCCAGAGAAGGCCGCCTCTCCCCTCATTCCAGCTGGCCTGTAGGACATGCAAGCCGGCACGCGGGCCCAGGGAAACGCAGCCTTTCAGCCGCCTTGGTGTTTTTAGCCCCCGAGGACCAATCGGGAAGTAGCTCAGCAGCCACTGGCGCCTTTCCAGAGATCCTCGGCCTGCGTCATTTCTCGCGCGCTGCCGCTCGCCTTCTCCTCGCGCCCCCATCTCAGCACGAAACCCACCGCGTTTCGGCACTGGCCACGGGTGGGGAAAACGAGCCGCTCGCTCAAGCACACCGGCTCCCCTCCTCTGCATTCCAGGCAGCGCTCTCTCATTCAAGCCTCGTCCATCGGCCGCGAGCCTCGGCGTGCGCTGGCAGTGGCCGAGCTTCGCCCCTCGCGGCCAAGAGGCTTCGCCGGCCTGGCCCGTCTCAGCTGGGCAGTGAATTCATGGGGGTCGGCAGCACTGCCTTCGGGCCGTTCCGGTCGCATGCACGCACGCACTCACATGGCCACACACGCTCAAGTGTGGCTTGCTCTCCGTCTCTCACGCACGCCTTCCTCTCGTGGCCACACACCTCCGATTCGCCCTCCGGCACCCTGCTCGGTTTCGCTCACGCTCCACCCCGTTGCCCCCACCTTCCTCGTGGGCACAGAGAACCAAGCCTTATTTTACCTGTGAGGCCTTTCAGGTCTTCTGAATGCTCCCCAGGCTTGTGGGGTTGACTTTGGTCGTCTAACCCTGGCGGGGGGGAAGAAGGGAGCGGGGCTGGGCGCTTGAGGAGGGGGCAGGACCAGTGACTTCCTCGGCTTCCCAACCCTATGCCGGGAGATTCCATCTGCAATTTGTGCCCCTTCCGAGCCCTGCAGTCAAAATATCGGGGCCCCCTCCGCTCATGATCAGCATCCTGACTGCCAGGCATCCCTTTTCCCTCTTGTGAGGAACCCCAGAGTGGCTTACCAGCTCTGGTTTTAATCCTCACAACAACAGCCCTGTGGGGTGGGCTAGGCCAAGAGCGAGCGACCGGCATCACAGCCGCATGGGGACTCAAACCCGGCTCTCCGGGGTGCCCAGTCCAGCACCCTTCTCACCGCACCATGTCAGGAAGGTGACTGTCAACGACCAGGAGGAGAACTTGGAAGCCATGGCCAAATAAGAAGGAAAAGGCGTTTCCACTACCTCCATTTACCAGTAGTAAGTGCTTCCGCTTGGAAGCAGGTGGGAAAATCCCACCCCCAATCTCCCAGTGTGGGTCAAAGAGAAGAGCCGTGCAGGGTGAGGGACCGAGAGACCACCAAGTGGCACAGGGGCACCCTTCTGCCCATGTTCCCCAGCAGCCGATGCACACAGGCACATGGGTCTCTGACACCCGGAGGGCTATCAGGACCAGTAGCCCAGCCGCCTTCTAAAGCGATCCAGATTAATGCTGTCGCTACATCTCATGCCGTACGATTAAGGCCTCTGTCTGGAACCTTCCGCCATCCACTCCACAGCATGACCCCGTCGGGGTCTGTTATTCCGAGACAGAAAAAACGCTCACTGTCCATTCTCCCAGCACTATTCTGCACCCTCGATTGCGTCTCCCCTTCCTCGCCATTTTTCTAACCTAAACAACGGCAGCTATTACTGTCTCTCTTTGCAAGGAAGCGGCTCCAGCACTTCTCCCAAGTCCCCTTTTCGAACAGAGAGAAACGGAGCCCAAGGTGCAAACTCACAAGCTTTGGGCTCCGTCCTCTGAATCCCAGGGATAGGCGAGCTTGGAGAGACATTTAAAATGTGCCTGGTTTTGCCACGTCTTGAGAAAGCCCCAGAAATGCAGGGAAAGGGAGAGTGCGAGGGAGGGGCGACATCTCTTTCCCCCCCTCCCGCACATTTGCATTTTTCCAGCCACTAAACAGCAGCTGTGGCAAGCCAGGTGCACGTCTCCACGTCCTCCAAACAGCCTTGACGTAAATGGATGTCTTGCAACGGTATTTTAAGATTCCTTCCCCCCCTCGGTCATGTCGCTCTTGCTTTTCCAGCCCCGGAAAAGCATTGCAATGCTTAAAAAAAAAGGACAGTCTTAATTAGCAAAGGAAGTTTGCAGCCTCTTTAGCCAACGCTTGGAAAAGGTCGCCCTTTCTTCCTTTTGCAAACTAGCAGATGAATAGTGGCAATTTCTCCATCGCTTTTGGCCTGTTCCTTGTGCACCTTTGAGCTAATCCCAGGGGGTCGTTCAATAGCAGCGGCTGCTTGATTTGCCTGCAGTCCTTCATTCCGATTCCTTTTAGTCAGTCTTCCTCCACCTCCTCCATCGCGATCACATTCAGATCGCGTTGTTCCTCCCCCACCTTTGCATGTCATTCTGCCAACACTGAAACTTGCTACCCACAGACAAAAGCCATCTATATGTTTGTGTTTAATTAAAGGCCCAGGGCCACAGGAGTGGAAAACTTGCGTTCACCCATAGCTGCAGCTCCCGTCTTCCCTAAACAGCTTGAATACCTTCTCCCTGACCAGCCAGTGGTCACTGCGGTCATTGAAGGACGTGTTTCCAGCGGTTCTGCACAGCTAAGATTTCCGGTAGTGTCATGGAAGGGGGGGTACGTGGCCCCTCGACACACAGGATTGGAGCATATGGGCAAGGTTTTGCTTACTTGACGTCCCTACAGTTGCCCTCAAGATGTGCAGCTTTTTCAAAAATCAAGTTTCTAGCCCTCATGATTGTCACGCTAAAGCACTGGTGTGAAAATCTCACGGGAAGCAGAACTGGGCCTGGCCGGCCAGTTCTTGGTGAGAAAACAAGTTGTGGTCCCCTCTGCCCAGGCATCGAGGCATTCGCATCCCAGTGAAGGCCCACATCTTGTTGACAATGAAAGCTCCTCTGCGTAAAGGGACAGCTGCTTTCCCCCATTTGCGTTCCTGACAGCCGGGGCCCTCGGAAGGCCTATTTTTAGAAAGTCATCGAGGGAACCAGTCGAGCATGAAACTCGCTGCCCCAGCTGGAACCGTCGCAATCAAGGGAGAAATGTGGCCGCTTGCACGGCGGGCTGGGGCTGGGTGAGGTCGGGGCATCAAGCCAGCTCCTTGGGGACGCTCCCGGCATCCCGGCTGCCACACCAGAGGGAAAGCACTCCCGTTGCCAGGTCCTCCGATGCCCGGTCCCATCACGGGAGGGAACACTGGCATTCCTGGCTCCGGGGGGTGTCTGTGAGTGACGGCATCTCAGGGCACCTCTGTGGGCCAAACTAGCCAGGTTTTCCAAGGCCCACGGCATTCCTAGCCATGCAGCTCGGCCGGATGAATTTCTCCCGGAAGCAGCAAACAAGCAGGACCTGCCGTTGCGGGTCGCGGCTTGGTGGCCTCCCAGTTGGCTTCCGTGTGGATGCATCCCATGGACTCTCCTTCCATTTTCCCACCGTGACACTCCCGGCATTGCGTTCTGCACCGAGCACATACACAAAATTTATTCCATCATTTCGGGCGTTCCTTTTCGCTAACAGCCATTTTGTGCTTCTACAAACCTTGGCAAAACTGCTCTCTTCTGTTTGCAAGTCTGGAGTGACATAAATCCTGGCACTTAGGCTTGAGCTCTGTTAGGTATCTGCTTTGACTACAGTTCCCATCAGTCCAAGGCAGCATGTCCACGAGCTGGCAGTTAACACCTCCAAGGATTCCCAGGCTGGGGAAGGCTGCAGTGTGGGAAACCTCATAATCCAGATTGCTGATACAATTCTGCAGGATTCCTGATGGGAATCTTTCTCAGTCCTGCCTGGAGATGGTGGAGTTTGAACCACAGACTTTCTGCATGCAGACTTGGGATTCTCCCACGGACTGACGGCCAAGGGGTGCTTTAGATTCAGCCGTCCACGTAACTTCCCGCAGTTGGGCTCCTTTGGCTGAGGGATAAAGCTGTCCCCCAGTTCTAGTCGATGCAGTCAAGCAACTCTGACAAGAGTGCAAACAAGTTTCAAGGCAGAACGCAAATTTCCTTTTGTTCCTGGAGAATCCAGTGCGTTTGCCACAGCAGTCGATACGTCAGAAAAAGGCTTCTCCTCCCTTTTCCACACTTCACAGGTGCTTGTACCCTGTGGGGGTTTCCGTAATTACTGCCCATTTGGATTGGGACACCTTTTTAATCCATCAAAAGTAATTGCTTTAATCGATTAACTGGTGAGCAGGGCCACTTCATTGAACGGATTAAATGTTGCCGTTGTTAATTCGGCAGTATCATTGCTTTACCGGATTTTATTATGGTGTTGCTATATAATGGAAGGGAGCGGAAGTAAAAGGGGGGGGTGCAACCCCAGTTCCACCAAACAGGAGCCCAAAACAGGGTCCCGCAGTTCTATTAAGCAGTATGTGGTTGTGGGATTTGTAGTCCCAAATATTGGGAAAGGACCCAGTGGCTGGGCCCGGCCTTAAAGACCCCTCCAGGCTGAAGTGGATGTAACAGTTCACCCTAGTTCCATTTTAAAAGCAAAAGCCCAGCGGGCATCATGCTTGCGTCCTCCTCCTAGTCCAGCACGTGAGTTTGGAGGCCTTCCCTTCCGTTTTGGATTAACCACAGCCAGGGCCTCAGCCAGATCCAACGAGCTAGGATGCATCTTAAGGGCGAGAAGTGGAAATAAGCCATCTTCAAACCATGGTTCGCCACAGATGTTTCCACCAACCACAGTTAAGATGAAGCACAGCTTGGAATCCAGACAACCTCCTATGCTAGGGTGGACATCCTGGTGTCCTTTACGTGCTTTGGACTACCGTTCCCATAATCACTCGCTCCTGTCTGTGGCAACTGGAATACACACGCTTGCCTGTGCAGACTGCAGTGAATCAGAAGTGCCGCGAGTGGCCCTGTCTCTCTCTCTCCCCCTCCCTCGCCTTCAGCCCATGTGGGGTAGCAGGTCTGGAAAAGGAGGGCTGATTCTGGCGTGGGAACGCTCCGCATAAGCACGAACATTGGGAAACTGTTTTGGAGGACTTTGGCTGCAGCCCAGTAGCAAGCTGGGCCCCATGGCCAAGGCTGGGGCGGGGCGAGGGGGATACCAGGCCAGTAACTCTTCATTTCAACCTCCTTGAAAGACAGAGGGAAGTGCCTAGAAAGTACCAATTGATCAGTAGTTGAGGGGAAAGGGAGAAGAGGAGTCGAGTCTTCCAGTGAGCCAGAACGGACAGAATCAAAGGTCTCGAATTCTGATTTGCACTGGCGTGTTCCCTTGGAAGTTCCCTCATTGGAACAAGGTGGCTTTTTTTCACATCCGTTTTGGGATTCCAGAACATACCGCGAGCCTCTTTGCGGTGCTCCAGAAAAGTTTGGTGGGGAGCCTTTGGGGAAACTCCAATGGGATGTTTTGCTTCTCTCTGCCCACTCCAGGCCGCAGCGTATGCCTCGGAGGACGGCGTGCTGACGGAGGCCATGATGGACGCCCGCGTGGCCGATGCCATCCAGCAGCACAAACAGAAGATGGAGTGGCTTCAAGCCGAGGGCATGGGGCTGGGAAAGAGCAGGCCTCTGCCTCTGTCCCTGGGGAAGTCCGTATGAGACGCCTCTCTGGTCCACGAGGACCAAGAAAACACGCCAGACCATTAAACGCGGAAGCCAAGGAAGATGGGGAAGCGTTCCATTGGCACCGTCTCACTGGAATCATGTTGAGGAAGACACAGACACCACACTGTTGGGATTTAGGTCTTTTTTATCTTATCAGGATGCCACCTGGGATAATTCTGTGTATGTGTGTCTGTATCCATGCAGGTGAAAATACATTAAAAAGCACTGTTGCCAACAGGCAATTGCCGCAGCCTGTTTTTTTCTGCACGCGACTAGTGTCAGCCATCTCACAGTCATGGAGTGGGTCCACCCTGCTCAACGCCTCCTCCCCCCCCCCCCCCAAAGGCAGAACACCATATCAGGGCTGGAACACCTTGCCTTGGCTAGATCAGCCTTCAGTTTAGAACTTAAACTGGACTCCTTCGTTGTTTTGCCCATGAATCTGAACACCGAAGACTTGGTGTTGTTGCAGTTTGTGAGTAGCTTCTGGATTTGTGAAGGATTTCTGTTCTTCCAACCCTAACCCTCATCTGGGCCTTGCTTACCTGGCAGAATCAGACACTTTGGGCTATATCTACTTATCTGTCTCTCTTTTTTAACTCCTGCCATTTTCCCTTTTTGGAAGGAATTCTAGATGACTTATGTCATCATCCACTTCTCCTTTATATTTTCACAACAATTCTGACTGGCTCAGCTCTCCCTGTGAACCTGAACCCCCACCCAGCAAGGAAATTCACTGGACAATTTTGAGCAGGTGCTGTCTTCAAGCAAGGCAACCTTACAGGGTTCTTGTGAGGATAGAAGGGCAAAACATCATTGTAAGAAGTAGCAAGTACCACCATTCAAGATTTTACAATATTCTTTTCAGTTTAAATACCTTATGAGTCCTTCTGGGAATGAAATACCCATGCGCCAATGCAGATTTCCAAAAGGCCAGTGAGAGTGGAAGGTTTTTCTCCAATTTTTCTCTCTGCCAATTCTACACACTTTTCAAGCCTCTAAACCTTGGAGGGGACCCTGGTTTTGCTACTCCTAAGCCTCACCTGGATCAACCTATGCCTAATTTGGGGCAAAAACTCATACCTCAAGGTGGATTTTCAAAATGCCGACTTCCAGGTGGTTCTTCCACATAGCTCATGCTTTCTGCCCCCTTTTAACTCCTCCCAAGTTTCTGAATTTCCAAGAGGATCTCCATTTTTAAAACCTTGCCCTAATCTGGACCTTTTCCTACCAGGTGTCAGAAACTTAAGGTGTGGCAGCAGATTAAATTCATGAACACCGGGGTCCAGACACACTAATCCCAAATATTGACCAACACCCAAGCTGAATCCCAAGCCAAAACTAGGTAAACACGAAGCCAGAGAGTTCACACACGGAGAGGCCTACCTTTGGAGCAGGTGCAGGAGCGACCAGAGCAAGGCTGGAGCATCAGCTGGGTCTTGACCACAAGAAATCACATAGCAAGAGGGAGCACCACAAGCCAGGAAAAGCCCACTGTTGAAAAACCTGGAGGGAAGAGGCAGTGCTTATATAGCTCCTCCCTCGTGGCTCACAAGGGCCTTGATTGCTGCAGAAGGCTGTGGGTCTGATCCTGCAACTACCAGAGCTGCTTCTGTGGCCACTGGCCTGCAGAAGGAGCCCTGCAGCTCCCTCAGGCCCTGACACCAGGCTGGAAAAAACCATTCGTCAAGGTCGGTTTCCTCAAGGCCAGGTTGAGTGGGAATTCTGTTGTTCTTTTGGCCAACTCCCTCTGCCCACTCTGAACACATCTCAGGCCTCGAGACCTTGGAGGGGACCCTGGTTTTGCTAATCTCAAGGCTAACCTGGACTTTCACCCTGGCTCTAATTCAGGGTGACAATGTTCATTTCTCAAGGTGGAGACTCAAAGTGCCACCTGGGGAAACTGGAAGGGCCGATTTGACTCTTGCAGCTGGGCCTTCTCCACATCTGCATCACCCCGCCCCCCGTGTAAACTGATAGCAAAAGCCATACGGAGCCAGACAAAGTGGGCTGAAATCCTAAAACCCAGCTCCCTCCAGCTGGTCATCTCCAGATGTGTTGGACTCCAAGTCCCATCCTTGATCGCCATTTTGGCTAGAGACTCTTGGTGTTCTGGCTCAACACCGCAGGGGATCACCAGCTTGGGTTAGGGTGCTCTGTACACTTTTCCGGAAATGCGTTCCATGGACATCACTTGGTGCTTTTCATCCTGCCAGGGAAAGCCTCGAGAGGATTTGAGTCAGATCAGGCTGGGCCACGTTTGGCCCTGAAAGTCGCTGCTGCACCTTACTTATCTCACAGGCCTGTTGGGAAAGTATCAAAGAAGTGGCTCTCAGCCGCTTGGAGAAAGGAGCAGATACAGAGGCTCGGTAACATAAAATGAAACGAAAAACCAGTCATCCGTTTGCATGAACTAAGCTGTTCCCAGAGCAAATACAGCCGAAACCTTGATGTTTGAAGTCATCTCCAGATATTTCCCCTTCGTGGCGCTTCTGGGCCTTCCTCCCATCAGTAGCACAGAGCGCTTTAATCCGAGGGGTTTTCCTTAATCCATCACTGCAAAGAGAGGCGAATCCTTTAAGGAGATCTTTGGAAGGGAACAGTAGCCTCTGTATTATTGTCAATAGAGCTAATGTAGTGCCAAGATGAAAGCTCTCCTATCCAAACATGGTTAATAAGAGCTAGCAGCTTGGGCAGGCGAAAGGGGTGAAAAGGGAGCCCTCGTTGATTCTGCTGTGGCTGTCAAGGAGTCAACACATGCCTGCTTGCCAGTTCCGCAGTGGAGCTCTGTCATAAGCCACTCGGCCTGTATGAGGTTAGCCCTGGCCCACGGTCCATGCAGAAGTGCAGGCCTCATCTGGCCGGTTGGCACGGAGCCCAAAATGGCTCACACTTGATGGATCGACACAGCCCTCTGAATTTTTGGACTCGCCTTGGGGCACGGTGATGGCTCTCCCTCCTTCCCCCCCCCCCCCTGCCATCCCCTTTCTGTCAAGTGTGAGCAGCAACCACCAATTATGTGTTCCAGATTCTAAAATTTCATTCTGAGTGTAAACACCCCCAAAAATCATATTGAAGAACTAAGAACCAGGATGCCCCTTGCATGAAAACATTCTAAAATTCTGCTTCGGTTGGATTCACACATCACAGCACCCCGCCGAGCTGGGTTAGTTGTTCCATGAGCAACCCACCTTGTGCTTTGCAGGAGATTAGCCTCAGGATGGGTTGTCAGCCCCCTCCCTTTTCCTTTTTTTTAAAATTGTCCCTCCTATTTTTCCCTAATAAATACAGGGGGGAATTAAAACTTTTACCAGGAACTATGGACATTCTGTTGCATGAATGCAGGATCACGGGCCCTTGGGTGCCCGTGTGTGAAGGGTCCTCTAGAAAGGGTCAGCAAGCACAGGGCCGTGGCTCATTTCCCCCTTTAGTCCCATACGACAGCGGTCAAAAGGTGCTCTGTCAAAGACACGAGTGATCTCGACCTGCACAAAGCGGGTGGCAACTCATCCCCCCACGCAGTCCTGGAGTATTTGCTCTTGCATTACCGTTGCTTTAGACTCATTAAGAAGCTGCCTTCTGTTTTTTCACTCCCTTCTGTGCTTCAACCACAATGGGATATGCAAAAGCGCCAGCAGCCCCATTTTTCAAGTGCCAGCTGAGAAAAGATTTCTGAAAACTTCAGGGAAGGGAAGGAAACAATGCAGGCCCCGCAGCATAAAAACCCCGTCTTGGGCTTTGCTCTGACTCGTTTTTTAAAGGCTAGATGGGCAGAACGAAGAGGCGTGGGGATGGGTTTCCTTTCCTCTCCGTGAGCCTGTGCCGGGGGTCAGCATCGCTGGGCACGCACATGGGGCCCACCGCTTCCCCCAGAGCTTCTTCCTGGCGATTGTGCCCTCCCTACTCAGCCCAGGCTTGCTCGGTGCTGCACGCCAACGCACCAGAGCTTGCCCTGCTTTGAAATGCTCCCTCACGCGGGCACCTTCCCGCTCCTGCTTCTCTTTTCGGGGTGGCGTTTTGTAGCAGCTTCAGGGCCGGTTACCAGGCAGCTGACTCAGAATCAGCCTCGTCTCTCCACTGTGGCATCCAGAGGTTTTCCTGAGACGTGTTTGCCCAGTCTGTTCATCCGCCCACGCCTACTGCCTCTCTCCCTTTCTCTTTTCTCCCTGCTGCTGGAACATTGTCACATTTTTTAATAAACCCCAGTGATTCAGGAAAAAACAGCTAGGCTGCTCCAAAAATAACGGCTGTCCCGGGCGGCAGAAAATTCCACCTGTGTTCAGATTTGGCTAAATGCAAACGCTCCTCAGAGCTTCAGGAACAGAGGGTGGCCCGCTGGTGCCCAAATCTTTCCTCTGAGGCCCCCATTATCTGGGCGAGCTTTTGCCCCACCACCTTCCAGTCCATGGGCACCCACTGAAATAAGGCTCAGACTAAACACTGCCATGGATGAGGATCCCCAGTATGGAAGTCCGCAGCTTCCCGGAATATTTGGGGGGGACACTGTGGCTTTCAGCACCATGGACAGTTCCTATAAAGATGAGAAAGGGGGTGCAGTGGCTAAGCTCAAAACCCAATTGAGTACAAAGCCACCCACAAAATGCCCTGAGAAAGAGGCAGAAAAATGAAGTTCTTCCATAGAGGAATGGAAGGACCTCCCCTTAACCTGGAGGAGAGATTTTGGCAGAGGGGAAATCTGTCTCTGTCTTGGAACAGCATATAACTTTGCCCCCAACTCATCATGCCTGTACTGAGAAGGAAGCGAAACGGGCCATGTTTGCGACACTGCAGTGCCGAAACGCAAGAACCAGCTGGAGGATTTACCCTTCCACCCGGGGAAATTCCTGCCCCACTTCCGCTGCCCCCAGACAGGGTGAAGCCTTTTGCAGGCTCCTGAATACAAACAGCTGGGTGCATTTGAGGGCCCCACGTAGGAACACGGGTGCAAGCATGTCAGGAGTGCCAGCCCTTCAAACTCGGCCACGGTGGGCACACTCCTGTTCCACCGTTGCAAACTAGTAGATACACACGTGCTCAGAGGCGCCCCAGCTCCACAGTCCTGCTGTTTCTTCTGGAGTTGCAAGTTTACACCTGGCCCGAAAAGCAGACTAAGACCCTGCAGGTGCATGAGCGGCCGATTCACCCCCCCCCCCCCCCCCGCACACACCTCTTATCACGGAGTCATTTCTTGGCTTGGTGCAGGTTTCCACACGCCGTTCGAAAAGGTCCAACTGTCTCTCCC